AGAAAGAAAGAAAGAAAGAAAGAAAGAAAGAAAGAAAGAAAGAAAGAAAGAAAGGAAGAAAGGAAGGAAGAAAGGAAGGAAGGAAGGAAGGAAGGAAGGAAGGAAGGAAGGAAGGAAGGAAGGAAGGAAGGAAGAAAAGGAGTTGATTTGCAGCACTGTAGCCAAACATCAGAATACGGGAACTATTTGAATGGATTAGAACAAATGTCTGCCTAGTCCAGAGTGCCCAGTAGCAGAACATGAACACTGCAGTAGACAGATATGAAGTAACCTACCTTCTATATTAAATCTCAGTCTCGTTTGAAACACACAGATTGGCTTAAGCTATGATCTAAAAAATAATGCTAAGTATGACAGCGTAAGAAGGGTTATTGGCAGTCTTTGTTTTGTACTTCATAGAAAGTTGAGTGTCCTTATCCTCCTCCTCATGAGAAAAAAATGAAAAAGGCTTACAAATGTGCAAAATCTACTGCAGAAACAAAAATGTTCTACGTGAAAAAAGAATTAAAATATTAAAAGATTTTATAAAGGAGCAATAACTACAATGATCAGTGCATGAACAATTAACATTTAATTTCCTATGACAAAAGAATAAGGAAATACAAATAAAACTGAAATACAAAATTCTTACATGATAAAAGGTATGTTTTCCATAATGTTTACCAAAAATTGATATACAGAACCTCTTGACACAGCATGATTTCAAAACTAAATTTAGGCAGGTTGAAAACATCTCAGATGTGTGTAAGCAAACAAGGAGAATAATAGCACTTCCATAACAAGTGATCTGTGTTGCTGTAAAGCATGGGTAAATTACCTTCAGTCTTCCCGTACTGCAGTTTCTCATTTGAAAATTAGAAATAACAACAATATTTCAAGAAGGAAAGATAAGAGCTATTATTTGTATCTCCTGACTCAGGATCAGAAACATTTGCAAAAAAATGTAACAGCAAGTGTAACAGAGTCACACTGGCTAAATGAACAATGTTATCCTTTGATAGCTTTGTTCTCCCTGCAAACCATAGAATCTCGGAATCATACAATCACCAAGGTTGGAAAAGACCTCAAAGATCGAAGAGTCCAACCACACAGAAACATTTAGATGTGTGTAAAATGCAGGTTCCAGAGCTAGACTCAGATCTCCTCAAGAATGTCCCAAATCTGACACAGCATGATGACGTCAGAAGTACGATGTGCCATGAACAAGAATATTCCATACCTGCAGTATATGACATCAGTGGCAGAAACCTACACTAGGTGTGGGGAGGGACAGACACTTCTTCCAGAGCCTACCTTCTATGTCCTCTCTAAATAAATAGGCCAAGACCACAAGTTTGTTTCATTCAGATTGCTCAAGCCCCATGCAAATATCAGGACTTTTTTCTATTTTTGTGACTTTTTGCATTTAAATTACTCAACTAGTAATCCAGACAGGAAGGGGCCTGCAAGTTAGAGTTACAAAATGGCCAGACGGGCATTGAAAAATTGAAATGAACATGTACCTGGAACACGCAACAAAACTCGATCTCAGCACAAGCTCATGGAACCAGTGCATTTATAAGAAAATGATGGATTACCCAGCTGAAATGGACATGATAGAGTAAAAAACAAAAACCAAATATTGTAAAGATACAGATTTAAAGAATATAGCAGGAAACACAATGTAAAAGTTACTTTATGCAGTAATCCAGAAATAGTGAGCAAGTTCTACCATTTTATATAGAAAGTTACTGGCAAGCACATAGGCAGAGGTGGATGAAGTTTGCAGAAAAGCTGACAAAGTCAAATGGCCATTGGAGATGTGTTCCATTCCATGGTGCAGTCAGAGTGGATCAGCTGTGTTTAGTACAGTGTTGTACAGCAGATGAAACAAATCACCTGCTCCACAGAAAGTTTAACGTATAAGAAACTTCTCAACGTGGTTTCAGGGGTTCATAAAGCATAGGCTTGAAACAGACTGCGAGTTCAAGAACCTTAGGCCAATCAATTCAGATACAGCCCTCGTGGTTTTGTTTTTCAGAGGACGAGAGCATTTCACATATTTTTCACTTTATTTCACCTTGAGTGGTCCAAAAATCCAAAGTCAGTTCTATGGATAATGCATCTTCCACACACGTGGAGCCACTTCTGGGGGATAAAAGCACATGCGCAGCAGCACAGCAGGCAACGAAAATGAGCTTTTGGTCCAGGAATCTAGGAAATTCATGTGTATGATGCTGTGGGGTATTAAATACTCAGCAAAGCTGTCACCACCTTTGTTTCATCCTCACAGCGTTGATAAATTTTCATAAGCTAGTTTGGGAGCTTTTGTGAGGTGGAAAAGACCTTTGCTGTGTTCTGTTAGAGAGCGCTGTACCTAGACAATCCATAGCACACATGAAGAAGCCCAGAACTTGAGCTTCACCTACAAACTTATTTCACACACACAGCCAGAGCTATCGCCAGCGGGGTCGGAACGGGACAACCCCACTTCAGCCCTCGGCTGACAGCGCAGCAGGTGCCATAAGCGAAGCGCTCCGTACAGAGCCAGGGACAGGACAGGCAGCGCCTGCAGGTCAGCCCAGAGCCGGCAGCACTGTGGTGCGGCTTCAGTTCCAACCCTCCTCCTTCACGTATCATTTACTTCCCGTTCTAGGTAAAGCAGGGAAAGGTTTCTCGTGTGAGGCACTCCCTCCCGCCAGTCTTCGCTCTCCTCCTCACCACAGCGCTCCGTCCCCGCGCGCGGCGCTGATCGCCCCACGGAGCCCCGCAGCCGCAGCGGTCCCCGCGCGGGTCCTGAGCCAGCCCTTCCTCTTTCCCTGCCCCACGGCCACCTCGCCCCCGGAAGACGTCCCTCCGGGAGCGGGATTTGCCCCTCCTCGCAGCTCCCCGTGCAAGGAGCTCAGTCCCTGCTCCGGGCCCCTTCTGCACCTCAGAGCTTCCCTCCCTTTCCCCGGCGAGAAGAGCTCCGTCCCTCTCGCTCCGAGCGAGGCGGGCTTTCTCCTCCCTGCTGGAAGCCCCTCGCCTTCATCCCCTGGAGGTGGGGTCTCTTCCCCTCTCCCCCCGCCCAGGCGCCTGCGGCTGGCACTGACCCGTCTCTGCCGTCCTGCTCCTCTCCGCCATATTTGTTGTCATCCCCTCAGCCCCCCCCCACGGCGCGAGACGCTGCCTGGGCGTCGCCATGGCAACGCACGTCACCGCCAGGGGAGCCCCGCGCTCCCCCTCAGACCGCGCGCAGCCGCCGTGGCGCGGCGGGAACGGAAGGGAGGGGAGGCGAGGGGTGTGAAGGGACGTCGCGCTGACGGAGCCCCCCGCCCTGGAAAAGCCACCCCGGCGCGCGGCCACCCCGAGAGCGGGCTGCGGTCGCTGGGCTGCGGTCGCTGGGCTGCCGCTGTCTCCCAGCTGGCGAATGTGGCGGCCGTGCGTGAGGGGCCGGGCCGCGGGCAGAGCTGTGCCACCATCCCGCCCTACCGCAAGGCCGCACGGCGCTCTGATTAGCACTTACGGCCACTTTTTTCCCCCGTTTTTTAGGGCAGCCCAGTGGGGGGCTTCATTATGAGTGCTGTGTTGCCCGTCTGTCTCTCGCCCTAGCAGGTGAGTGCGACCATATGGCAAACACGGTCAGGCTTCCTGGGGACGGGAGGCTCCTATGTGTGCTGTGGGCCCGCTGGGTGACACCCAGCGTGTGGCAAACACAGCAGTGAGTTGTGTGGTGCGGAGGGGATAATGGCGTGTGTGTTTCCCCAGAGGCACGGGGTGCTGGGTCTGACCGTGCGTGCCTCACTAATGCAAGCCTGAGCAAAACCTTCATCACGCCTCCTCTGTGCGGGCTCCAAGCCCAGGTGAGGGACAGGCAGTGTCACAAGTGCGGGCACGGATCCTTCAGTCATTTGTATTTGCATCCATGGACAGACATGGGGGATAAACACACTCCAAACTGAGTGGCTAACTGAAATGGGAAGTGTGCGTGCAATGCTAAGCAATGGAAATGGGCAGGACTGTTCATAAACATTTATGTGTTTGCTTACTTACAGCTAATAAATTAATGTTACCACAGAGACCGGTGATCTGTTAGTGAAACACTCCAAGCCTGAAAATCAAGGCAAATGAAACTGTACCTTTCTCCATCTCTCTGTCTTCCTATCTGCTATGTGCATTTTCTGCTCCAGTGCAACACCTGATAACAAGACTCACATGGTTCTACACAGCTAGATTTCTCTGTAGGATCTGTTACCCACTCTTGTGTTTTTCCCTCGCTTTTGCAGCCTTGTCAATTATTCCTTCAGTTCATACTGTTCTGGTTATTTTTCTCTTCATTCTCAATATATTTCTATACCACAGCCACAAGTTTTCAAACACAGCCACATTCCTGTTCCAGTGACTGAAATATATGTCTAAAATAGTGCACCAACGGGGCTTTTTGATGGGGTTAGATGTCCTGTTGGAACATGGATATTGTTCTTTGCTTTGTGCCAGCACTTAAAAGCCATCAAGGGACATCTAGATTCAAGCTCTGGAAAAAATAATGTCTATACTTCTTCAGCCTTCATAAACTACATGTGGTAACTAGGATACTGCAAAGGCTGGTTTGTCTCACTGCTGACAATGAACTATGGTGAGCACCGCACCCCATGCTCTCCATTCACACCATTTCCCTGGACTAGGAAATCTCCCAGGCCTTGTTTGTTGCTCGGCAAATGATCCTGGGAGACCTCACTTCAGATTATGCTGCATGTATTCTCTTCTGTCCGTTCAGGCCTCATTGATGACTGCTTATATCAAGTGTTCTGCATATTCATTTGGAAATGTTATTAGCACTAATTCAAGTTTTTAATGTACTTTACATTCTCCCCTGGAAACTCTCTCCACGCATTACTGTACCTCCTGCCTGTCTGTCACATAAACTACAGATTTAACCTGACTGCTTTTCCTTTTTATTTTTCTAGCCTGTTATCAACTCTGGCTTTTTCTCTGCAAAGTTGACCATACCAGTATCAGCAGCTAGGGCAACTTTTTTGTTTCTGCTCATCTTTTATCCTGTCTGTATAACTTCTTTTATTTAAGGTTCCCTGGTAGCCATGTCCCAGTCCTTCTTAAAATACTTTCTCATAACATTCAGCTCTTCATTCTTTTATCTAAACTTTCCTTTTTTATCTAGGTCTTACATAGTTCTGTCCAAGTCTGCAGCTCTTGTCTGGTTTCTTATGTCCCCAAGTCCCCTATCCCCTTTGTTCTACTTGCTATTCCAGCTTTAGTGTCCCCTCATCCATATTTCATTCCTATCTATTAATAGTCAGATAGCATTTTTCATCTGTAAATTTCTAAGAATTAAGTGCCTGTGGAGAAGCCTTCCAAATCAGTTCTTGGTATGACCTTCTCTTTATTCACACTTCTCTGAGAGACTCACTTCTATGGTGACCACAAATACTAATCCAAAGGCCTTTTGCCTCCAGCTGCCAGACTAGTAACTCAGATATTTGTAGGTGTATTGAAATAAAAGATATCTGGGGAAAGCACTTTTTTTTTTTTTTTTTTTTTTTCAGTCAAATTAGCTTTTCTCAGTTAGCACACTTGAAAAACCTAGAAATGCCACGCTCAAGTTTTTTTTAGTCTGAGTTTAATGCTATGTTATAGTCACCTCACCAAGCTGAAATGATGTTAAATATAGATGATATGCAGTCTTTCCAAAAACAGTAAGCTAATTTGACTTGAGAGAAGAACTGGAAAGTTCATATAGAAAGTTCTTTTGAAAAGGGAAAGATACCTGAATGGTGTAAACTTAAATAATGAGGACTGAAAAATGAGGGAAAGAACGATCAGGAGAAGCACTTGTTCATTTTTATTTATGCATTTTTAGAGCATGTGAAAAGATATTAGGGTGCTCTTTAGTATAAAGATGTCTTTGGTCCCTTCCCTTCCAAAGCTAATAATCTAGTTTTGGACATCATGAAACAACAGGGAGTAACAGAATACTACAGCAAACTGCTATCTCCTTGGTTATCTTCACATTTATTATTTCAGCCATATTCTTTATTTTATTGCATCCCTCCTTCAATATCTTAGCAAGCAGAAGCTACTTCACTTTTATGGCTCTTCACAGCTTATTCCCACCCTATCATCTTTTAATATCCTATAGAGAAATCAACGTCTTCCCCCCACACATTTCATTCAGTAATAACTCTACTTGTTACATTTTCAAACCAGCACCTTCTTGCTTTCCCTCACTGCTGCTTCTCACTCCCACTCACCTAATTTTTCTCCTTCAAATCCCTCCCTAAAAATCTCCTATGCTGTGATGTCTACTGAAGAAATGATAATAAATAGTCAGCTGTGTGCCAAGATTACTGTCTGTCAGTGTGACTGGTGTTGTCTTATTCTGATCTTTGTCTGTCTCTGGCATCAACTTGTGCGGACTGAAAGTGACTTGAAGCAGGCCCTGTCTTTTTGCTGTGTTAGATATGGGTTCCTAGAGTGGACTCTTAAGAAGCTTTATATAAACAAATAAAAATAAACTCCAATCATAAATATACAAATGGAAATACTGGCCAAAACCAGGACGATTAGGCAATTATTCAGTTATGATTCATCAGCTTAGACAAATTTACATAAAAATTAATGTGACTGACAACTCCGTTCTAAATATCGAGGAAGAAATTATTTTTCTAAATATGGATTTGTGCTATCTTTCTGTTTATTTATAGTCTATAGGGACTTGAGGAGTATGCTATTTTTTCAATCTTTCTTGTATTTAAAATGTTAGATTTTCTATTGTTTTATCTTTTGCCACTGCCCACAATACTATATGGCTACAAAAGAACGTGAGACAACATAATGCCACAAAACCAAATAAAGAAAAAATTATTTCTAATCACTTCTTTTTTTCTTAACATGAAGATAATTCAAATATGTCAAAAATGGATTGATTTGCATTGTGCGTTCAGTCCTTCCGATTCAACGAGAGGTGGCTGTGGTCAATACATATCTGTTGAAATCTCAAATATCTTCCAGAAAAATCAATAAAACCTCAATTTTACAATCCTGATAATTTCAGAGTATTTACAAAATTGGCAAGTTAAAAAAGAAAAAAAAGAAAAAGAAAATGTTTTTATACATAGCAAAAAAGAAGCCAAGAAAAGGCATTGCTGGTTTTTCACAAATCATTTTTAAATGACTGTTAAGGCTGGATGAGAATGGAAAGTTAGAATATTAATGCACAGGTTGTGCATGCATTTCAAGCACCTCACATATGGTGTATGGTACGATAACGTTTTTCAAAGTGGAGATATAAAAATCTAAGTGCAATTATATAGAAATCATATAGAACTTTTTCTTTTCTTTTTTTTTTTCCCCCCCACCATTGAAGAAGTAGTGCATGAACTTGAGTACATGCAATGCAGGTGCTTCAACTTTGTTTGACTTCTGTCAGAGCAAAGGCCATAAGGTTTCATCTAGAAACAGGCCACCAACATTGGCTGTGAAGGCAGAGCAGAGGAGGTATCATCCAAATAAAATAAAACATATAACAAAATTTAAAAAAAAAAGTCTGGCTTGAGTTTTTAGCCAGGATGTTATGGTCTGGTAGATTCAGACAGAAAATGTAATCTGATAAAGAGCCAAAATGAAAAATCAAAGCCTATACTGAGGTAGAAAAATTGAAGTGAATTTTAAAACATGCATACATATTGGAGAAATGTTATAATCTTATTATTGTAAACTCATTCCACTCTTTCCATTGCTCTAGCATTTATTGCTCTCATTAGTTATGTAATACATAAAAGCAGATTGTAAATTTCTTGGGTCAAGACAGTATCTTTAATGTATTCTGAACATGCCTAGTATATCTTAAGATGTTCTATACAAAAATAATATTACCTCTTGGGTTCTTCTGAATTATTTCTAAGCATAAGAAAAATTAAAATGCAGCAAGTCTGGAAAGGTCAGACTGTGTCTCCCCTCATTTCGTGCATGACTTCAGAAATAATCAAAAAGTTATGCTGAGATAACTGATATGAGACCTGAGACATCATGATCACAAAAGTTGCATCAATTTGTGCCCATGCAATCAAAGCACTATCTCATTTCACTCCTGAAAATATTTTTTTAATTTCACATTTTATGGATATTTTTGAACTACCAGGCCCTAATGATTGTCCTCATGGATGTGTATAAGTATTGTGTAATTACACAGAGAAAACACTGGCCTAAGGAACCCAGTGAGTAGGTTACAACCATACTGAGTACAGGTGGGCAATCCGTGACCCCAGGATGCCCCATCCCTGGAGACTTTCAGGGCAAGTCTGGATCAGGCCCTGGGCAATCTGTTCTAGCTCTGGTGTCCCTGTTCATTGCAGGGGAGCTGGACTAGATGACCTTCAAGAGTTCCTTCCAACTCTAAGGATTCTGTGATTCTATGATTTGTTGCAAAGAGGTTGGTTGCCAGTATGAGCTTATGCCTTGCAATTGGTGAGGAAAGGAAAGGCCTCCAAGGGAAAGTTTAGAACTGGGTGCAGAATGGAAAAGTAAATGTTATCCAAGGACAGGAGCAAACCAACAAAAGTGCATTTTATCTGGGAAAGGTGAAGGGCTGAGTCAGATCTCATGGTGTCTGAATGTGTGGATGAGGACAGTTGAGGAACTTTCAAACTAATGTGTAATGTATTATAGCCTGGTACCTTGATGTTTCCAGGGAGTTAACATGATTCTGACAGTCCTAGTGGCTGCTTCAAACTGAAATATATGATTGTGTGATGTTTTAATATATTTATTGAAAAATATTTAATAAACATTATTTTTCATGAATCTGTATGTATTATTATTTTCCAGTCTGTTCTCTATACTTATATTTGCAGGCGTATTTTAAGCATTGTATGTTAAGATTCTATATACTCCGCAATTCTCTTGTATCTTTTAATCATTTTTATCATCCACAGGAGTAAAAATCTTTTAATGTAGGTTCTGTACCTCTAGAAAGATGAGAGAGGTAAAATCAGCCTATGACAGAAGTGAGCACTCATGGGCTTTAAAATATATATATATTTTTTTTAAATGCATCAAAGGAGTGAATTCAAAGGGTGCATGTAGATAGCCTTTGGTAGTTAGGTTGATGTGTGGGCTTTAGATCAGTGAGACTCAGCCATCAAGGTCCTTGCTTGCCTTCCGCTTGTTTTCACACTCTACAGTGAACAGCAAGAACAATTATGCTTTGCCAGTTATTCCATCATTTGAAAAGCCCACTCTAGGGCAATGAACTGATCTGGTTTCCCAAGTTTCAGGCCTGGATGAGTACATATGGTCCTGATGTTTGTGGGGGTAAACCTGAGATTTACAGTAAGCAAGAATGTTTAAAGAGAACTGCTCCATTCAGTGCAACGAAAAGTGATAAAAATGTTGGTAAAATGTCCCAGCCTAGCATTGCACACTTACAGAGATTTACACAACAGGCAGGATTTAAAACAAACATGCAAATAGATGCTATTTAATTAGGACCTTCACCAAAGAAAACACCTATATAATTGGGTGAGGGGAAGTCTTTACTCAGGCAACATTTATTGAGATATAAACAATGTCCAATTGCAAAAACTAATTAAACAGCAGGGCTAGGGTAGCTGTTTTGCCTGCATGAGTAGGATATAAGGTTTATAATCCATGCTGTTACAGGACAACAGCAAGAACAAATAACTGTCTATCCAAAAAGTCAATTATGTCCTTCTCTTAGTAATAACATGCTCCAGAGGTCAAATAATAATTTTCTTTAAGTAATATAGTCGGTTTTCTATAGAGATTGAAGCTTGATTATTGATCAGTGTTTGTGAAGAAGCTGAAAGCAGCAAAAACAGCCTAATAAATATCACACTCTATTCATACACATTAGCCCACCATTAGGTGCCCCTTCATGCCCTTTGCTCTCACAGAGCAAATTCTCTGATTTAGAGTCATCTGCCAATGAGGGATATCTGGTTTATGAAGGACTCATATCAATAACCATATAGCATTTTGAAGTTTCCTTTTAAAGAAAATTCATTTACAAGTAAGACATATTTGTGTGTATATATATAGATAGATAGTTCAGCTACAGCCAGTTGAATGGCAGGTGCAGGCAAGTCCCTGTAGCTACAAGTTCATTGACAAATCCATCTCGCAGAGCTTCTTCAGAACTTTAATAAGTGATGGCAGCCAACATTTCCCTAAGCCTCCCAGTCTGCCTGCAGGTTATTCACAGGAAAGCTCTAAACTGCAACACCATCTCTGGCGCTGGTCCTCCTTGGCAGCACCACGCCTGTCACTATAGCCAGTCCAAATGCAATCCCTGTAACAAAGAAACTTTCTTCTTGCTTATCCTCTTGGTACAGGTGGCATGATACATCCTATTTTTCCTAGAGAAAAACAGGTTTTGAGGTCAGACACAGGCTCCCACTTCAGCGAGCGCTCTCCTTGAATGTTACTCTATTAGAGGGGACTGCGAAGTACCACTTGTCATATGCCATGAACAGCTAATA